CTTGTTTTGGTTGATGGTTACTCTGGTTTTTATTTTTATTTTTCTAAATGTTGTTTTTTTAAGTAAGGGCATTCTGTAATTAATTTTTTTTTAAAGATTTTTATTTATTTATTTGACAGACCGAGATCACAAATAGGCAGAGAGGCAGGCAGAGAGGAGGAAGCAGGCTCCCCGCTGAGCAGAGAGACCGATGCGGGGCTCGATCCCAGGACCCTGGGATCATGACCTGAGCCGAAGGCAGAGGCTTTAACCCAGAGCCACCCAGGCGCCCCCATTCTGTTATTAATTTAGTGAGTGTCTTTATTGTGAACATTTTTCAAGTGATTTTTCTGCACATATTGTAATGATTGTGTTTATTTTTCTCTTTTAATAGATTAATGCAGTCAGCTATGTTAATGATTTTTCTAAATATTATATCATCCTTCATATTTGGAATAAGCCCAGTTGATCATGATATATTCTCTCTTTATGTACTGTCAGATTTAATTCAGTATTATTTGTTTAGTGTTTTGCATTTGTATTTATAAATGAAATGGACCTTAATTTTCTTTTCTCCTAATGGCTTTGATTAGTTTTAGTATTAGGGGTTTGGTAGCTTCATGGGATGAATTGGAATTTCCTCTTTCTTTTATTGTGCCAAAGAATTTATATAAAGTTTAGATGATCTTTTTTTTTTTTTCAGATTTTATTAGAATTAGCCTATACAGTCAATTCTGGGCCTGGTATTTTCTTTGTGAGTATATAAACTATTGGTTCAATTTAATAGTTAAAAGACCATTTAAGACACTTCTTGATTTGGTTTTGATAAGATTTTTTTTTTTTTAAAGATTTTATTTATTTATCTGACAGACAGAGATCACAAGTAGACAGAGAGGCAGGCAGAGAGAGAGAGAGGGAAGCAGGCTCCCTGCTGAGCAGAGAGCCCAATGCGGGACTCGATCCCAGGACCCTGAGATCATGACCTGAGCCGAAGGCAGCGGCTTAACCCACTGAGCCACCCAGGCGCCCTTGATAAGATTTTTTTTAAAAATTTCTGCATTTTACAGGATGCCTGGGTGGCTCAGTGGGTTAAGCAGCTGCCTTCGGCTCAGGTCATGATCCTAGCGTCCTGGGATCGAGTCCCACATCGGGCTCCTTGCTCGTCAGGGAGCCTGCTTCTCCCTCTGCCTTTGCCTGCCATTCTGTCTGCCTGTGCTCGCTCTCTCTCCCTCTCTCTCTCTGACAAATAAATAAATAAAATTTAAAAAAAAAAATTTCTGCATTTTATAAAAATCTTTCATATGGATACTAATACCCATATAAAGCAAAATTGTTTCATATGGATATTAGTATGCCCTTACTCTTTTTAACCTTATTTTATTTTATTTTTTAAGATTTTATTTATTTATTTGAGAGAAAGCATGAGCAAAGGGAGGGACAGAGGGTTCTAGAAGCAGACTCCCTGTGGAGCAGGGAGCCGACGCGGGGCTCCATCCTAGGATTCCAGGATCCTGACCTGAGCAAAGGCACATGCTTAACCCACTAGCCACCCAGGCACCCAACATTTGTTGTTGTTGTTGTATTCCTGATTCCTAGAATTTTGACTTTCATATTTGTGTGATACAGGTTTTAAAAAGCCATTAATCTCACCTTTTATTGTTTCATATCTGTTTCATATCTGTTTCATAGGGTAATCCAGCTGATCTTGCTTCTGTTTCAGCCATCTTCAATCCTTGCTGTAAATTGTCATCTGAATCTTTCATAATAAAAACCCTATTTTTATTATGTTATTTTCCTATTAAAAATCTTCTGCTCCTAGGGCAAACTACTAATCGCTCAAGGTCAGTGATTTTCAAGGTAACAAATGATGCCGTACCCTGACCACAACCATTCTAATACAAACCAGTATGCTTATTGTCTCTTGAACATACCACGTGAATTTGTTCCTTTGTTCAGATCCTCTTGCTTCCCTAAATGAATTTCCTTCTCTATTCTCTCGGTCCTGTCAAGCTTTCAAAGCTCTGTTAAAATTTTATATTCATTGAGAAAGCTATGATACTTAAGTTAAAGATGATTTCTTCCTTCATCATTTGGTTTTCTGTTCATCTCTTTTTCATGTATGGACTTTTTTCTAAATTTTTCATAGGCAGGGCATGTATACTTTTTCGATTTTGTGTTTATTTAGAGTCACCTTCCCTTTAGGACCCCACAGTTTTGTTCTCAACCTTTTTTTCCCCTTGACTATAAATAAATACTGAAAACTTTTTTATTTTATAGCTACAACTTAGTGAAAATTGACTGTGATTTGTAATGCAGTACTTAAAACTATTGTAGGAGCATTCCTCTGAGCACCCACTATATTCTTTTGTATAAACTATGAGAAGAAGTTATTCTCTAGTCCAGGGGTTGCTAGTCAAATGGCTGTAGTATCAGGTTGGCAACATGCATGCGTGAACTGGGTTGTCTGTAAGAAATGGGAGTGGGAGAGCCTGGATGAACCAAAGAATATATGTTCCCTCAAAGGAATTCAAACCAAATTCTTAAGGTTCTTTCTGGGCCAGCCCTACTTGTGACCTCCTACTCTAGCCTTTTTTTTACTGTTGAACTGTACTACTGTGTTTGAAAATGTGTTACATGCCAGAGCATATAATAGAATACTCAGGATAAATTAGAGATTTAAAAAGTTGGAAACTATAATTTATGCTGCAGTGAATTTTTTGTGACAGGAACTAAAAGTTTTTCCAAATAGATGGATGTAAATGATTCTTATATAAGTTTCATTGGGTGAAAGACCTCTCTCTCATTCACTGTGCATCCCACACACCACAATGTATGGCACACCTACACTGTAGGTGCTTAGTAAATACATGAATGACTGTATGGAGGTACCCTTTTTAAGGTCTTTCTTTTGGCACTTCTATGCTATATATAGTATAACCACTTGGTGGCGCTAGACTCATTTTTAAACCTGGAAAGCTATTTTTATACGCAGGCACGCCATGATTACTATTCTTCATACACAAAATAAGCTATAGCAAACCATAGACAGTGTGTATCATTATTAATGTTGAAGGGGAAGTATTAACCACTGGATTTTTTTCTTTTTTAAAAAAATATTGAAGTTGATTATAAGAAAAATGCATGTTTAACGTATATAACTTGATTACTTTGGAAGGAGCTTTTTTTTTTCCAATTCTTTAAAAAAGTTTTCTAAAGTGATGGATTACAGATTTGAAGTCCTTAGATTATAGGAATGTTTGAGAGTATTCTCTGCCATAGCCTCAGCATCTAACCTGGCACTGGGTACATAGTATGTCCTTAATGTGTGAATTTGAAAGAATGTGTGAATGAGTATAAATTTTAACTTCTTCTAACTTTGCTCCTACCAACCCATTCCCAGATAATTTCATCCCATATAAATTTGGTCCAAGGTAAGGGAACACTGAGTCTTACTAAGTTTTAGTAAACCAAACCTTTATGTAGTCTCCTTTAATTATTGAAATTTCTTATCCAAATTTACTAAAGAATTGTGATTCAGAGAAAAATACATATTAAAAGAAATCACTATTAATTGGATTCTAGATTTCCTGTTACTTTTCTCTAATTTGTCAGTAATAATATAGTTCTGAGTACAAGATATCAGAGAGGATATCAGAAATGTGGTGGTATTGTTGTATTTGCTTGAGAATTGGGCATGAGAGAATGTTTCCTAGTAGAGAAAGCAGTCATCGAGGAATTTTTCAAACATACTGCTGCACATGATCTAAGAACTGGTGGATTTCACAAGACCTCAAAAGCCTCTGGCAATGTAATAAGTAGAGGACTGTAAGAATTAAATACAGAAAATAATTGAAAGTTTTTCTTCTGAAATATGGCAGGATATAAATAGCTTGCTAAATTGTAAACGTGTAAGTGAGTTAGCATTTTGGAAAGACTCTAGAAGGTAGTATTTAATTATAATGTAGTAACAAAATAAACAGCAATAGTACTAAACTGTATTTTTAAAGGTCATTAACCAAATTTAGTTCAACTTTATAATTAACCTTGCTGGTATTTACACTGTTCATCTGAGGTTCTTTCTAGCTCTATAATCTCAACACTGTGTAGGGGTTATAGGAAATATGGAAGAAGCCCTTGACCATAGTAGTTATAATCTCGTTAGAGAGACCACATAAATGTACAGAGTCCGCCTAACATAGTGGCTGACTGCACAAATTCTAGAACTGAGACTATCTGCCTCTTGCTTAGCTTTGTGCCCTTGGGGCAAGTTACTTAACTTCTCTGTGCCTTAGCTTCCACTAATGTAAAATGGGGATAATAATATTACTACGTCTTCATAGATTGTTGAGAGAATTAAAAGAATTAATACACGTGAAGTGCCTAGAAAAGTACCTGGCACATAGTACGTGCTATGTACATGTTTTTTCACTCTTACTAAAATGTAAGGTCCACATAATTTGCTAAATAAATTGTTAACAACTAGATGACAGCACTGTAAAGACTGTATAGGACTGAGCTGAAAAAAATGTGTCGACAAAATGTATCCTCTCTAGGAACTCGAAGGTAGAAACTAATAGCAATTGTTGTTGGATAATTTCTCTAAAAGCCACCTAGGTGAGTTGGAGCTTATGCTGAATATGGAAATATGGGTTAAATTTGGAGAGGCAGAAACGAATTTAGGAAGAAGTGTGAATAGGAGGGAGGACAAGTTATTTTGGCTTAATCAGCTGTGTTTAAGATTAGGAAAGATTTGTCTTGTTACCCTAACTGGTTGGTTTCACTGATGTTATGAGTTTATTTAATTTATTTGGTTTCCTAGAATCCTCAACTCCAGAATTGCAGCAAATTCCTGAAAATACATTAGAATGGAATTAAACATGTTTATTATGTTTATGTTAAGACTATATGAAATACATTTTGAAAACTATTAGCATTATTCATATTTTAGAGGGCATTATCATTAGTTAAAAGCTGCTTTGTAAAAAACAAATTGATAATATTTTTGCTTTTATGTTTTATAGGTAATTAACAATGCTTGTGCTACTCAAGCTATAGTAAGTGTGTTATTGAACTGTACCCATCAAGATGTCCATTTGGGAGAGACATTATCAGAATTTAAAGAATTTTCACAAAGTTTTGATGCAGCTGTGAGTATACTCTTATTATTCCTAAAATGCCCTATTTGTAATAGTTCTCCTTTTAATCGGCTACTTTAACAATTTATTGTAGATGAAAGGTTTGGCACTGAGCAATTCAGATGTGATCCGACAAGTACACAACAGTTTTGCCAGGTAAAGAGACTTTTTACTAAATAAACACTTGTTCTTTTTTGCTTGTTTGTCTCTCACTATTTTTTTTTCTTCTTCACTGAAGACAGCAAATGTTTGAATTTGATGCAAAGACATCAGCAAAAGAAGAAGATGCTTTTCATTTTGTCAGTTATGTTCCTGTAAATGGAAGATTGTATGAATTAGATGGATTAAGAGAAGGACCAATTGATTTAGGTAATCTGGTTCCTGTTCCAAGTATTGCACTTTTGACAAGGAAAAAAATAGGGTATTCTCCTTTGTTTTTGCCGCAACGCTGCTTAGATATTATTTTGTTTATTTTTATTTTTTTTAAGATTTTATTTATTTATTTGACAGAGACACAGCGAGAAAGGGAGCACAAGCAGGGGGAGTGGGAGAGGGAGAAGCAGGCTTCCCTCGGAGCAGGAAGCCCGATGTGGGGCTCGATCCCAAGACTCTGGGATCATGACCTGAGCAGAAGATAAACACTTAACAACTGAGCCACCCCGGCACCCCTCTGCTTAGGTTTTAAGGGGAAGGTGACTGTAAGGTAGTATAATGTCATGAAAGTCTTAAGCTTTTCATTACCTTATAAGGTTAAATAAAATGAGCAGAGAGAGCCCCATGCAGGGCTCAATCCCAGGACCCTGGGATCATGACCTGAGCCAAAGGCAGAGGCTTTAACCCACTGAGCCACCCAGGCGCCCCTGAAGTTTCTAAGTAGTGCAATAATATGCTGTTCTTTGGACCAGAGGGTAGATATGTCCCAATTCCACCCATCTCTAACCTTAAGCAAAAATGATAAATGGTTAGCAAGGTAAAGGGTATAATTGTTAGTTCCGATATTGTACTAAAATCACACACTCACAAAGAATTTTAACTTTTTATTTTTAGCTCATTGAGTTTCCTTTTTTAAAAAATTAGGTTCATTTTAATTTCAACAAAACGTGTTTTTATTAAACCTAATGTTATCTGCTGTTCATAAAACTTTATAGTTCTATTAGATTAAAAAAAGAACCTAGGTTCATTTTGTTTATACTTTTTGACCATGTCCCCTGCATAGAACCAGTAATTCATCATGCAGATTTACATGTTACCTCTATATTTAAAAATATTTATTTTTTTATGTCACAGAAAAATAGAATTTTAAAAAATTCTCTTGAAGTTTTTTGTAGTTTGGTGGTTAAGCTGATCTCTATATTTTCTCTGTTGGCTTCTCTCTGGTCACTTACTCTGTATTTGTTAGAACCATCAAATACAAAGGAAGTAAAAGATAAAGTGGAACAGCCAGTTTTGCTATACATCTGGTGGCTATGCTAAAAATTATGGTGAAAAAGAGGATTAAAACAACTGGGTAGAATTAGTTTTGCATTATGTATAGATTTCAGTTTTTTATTTTATAGTTATGGTAGAGAGTCAGACTGATAAGGACTGAATCCTTAATTGCTACTAATTTGTGTGCTATTTTTCTTAGCCCTCGGTTTTACTACTGTAAAATGGTATTCTTATTTCACAAAGTTGTGGATTTTAATGGGATAACTCCTTAATGAATTACTTTTCCATACATTTGTTGAGCACCTACTAAGTGATACAATAATGTAGTAATGCAAATTATACTCATGCTTTCTTTGCCTTTATCTTTAAATTGAAGCTTAACATTGCTATGCTGAAAGGATTTTTACCATCCTGAATTTTTAAAAATATTTATAAAAAGATATTTTAGACTAACTTTTGAAATAATTTTAATGTTGATTTTATTTGATTTAATTGTTTTCAAATTTATTTCTAGGTGCATGCAATCAAGATGACTGGATCAGCGCAGTGAGGCCAGTGATAGAAAAAAGGATACAAAAGTAAATGCTCAGCTAATCTCACTGGCATAGTATTCTAGTTTTTAAACATTTTCTTTCATCTTGTATTTTATTATTATTTTAGCAGTGCTTGAACATCTACTTTTGATTGGATTAATATGTTCAGGAAATCTATTTCAGAAATATTTAAATTCTACATGGTAATATGTCCTCTTTATAAAGGTTAAACATGCAGATCTCCATTAGATATTTTGTATGGTTGTTTTGTGGAGTTGTTTTTAAGCATCTTTTTAAATTAAATTAAAACCCTTATTTTGAGATAATTATATATTCACATTCAGTTACAGAAATAATACAGAGAGATCCCATGTACTTTTTACCCAGCAGTGGTAACATCTTATCAAACTAGAGTACAGTGTCAACAGCCAGGATGTTGACACTGATGCAGTTAAGGTGCAGAACGATTTCATGAGCACAAGGATTTCTCATGTCACGGTTCTAGAGCCACAACCACTTCCTCTGTTGCCACTCTCCCCTCCCATCTTTAATCCGTAGTTTTATCATTTTTTTCAGTTAAAGAATGTTATATAAATGGAATCATACAATATGTAACTTCTTGGATTGGCTTCTTTCACTCAGCATAATTTTCTGGAGATTTATCCAGGTCATTAAGTACATAAATAGTTCGTTCTTTTCTAATGGTGGGTAGTAGTCTATGCTATGGGTAGGACCTTTTTTTTTTTTTTTTTTTTTTTTTTTTGCTCATTTACCCATTGAAGGACATGCATTTGTGTACACATTTTTGTGTGAACATAAGTATTTATTTCTCTGAGATAAATGCCCAGAAGTGCCATTGCTGAGTTGTAAATGCATGTTTAATTTTCTGTGGAACTGCCAGACTCTTCCAGAGTGTATCATTTTTCATTCCTACCAACAGTGGATGAGTGATCCAGTTTTTCCATATCGTTGCTACCATTTGGTTTTGTCAAAATTTTTTATTTTAGCCATTATAGTAGGTGGTAGTGATATTTCATTATAGTTTTAATCTTCATTTCCCTGATGACTAATGATGAAAATCTTTTCATGCCTTTTGCCTATTTTGTGATTAGATTGTTTTTGACTGTTGAGCCTTGAGTTTCTTTATATAGATAGTACTAGTTCTTCATCAGACATGTTGCCTGCAGATATTATCTCCCAGTGTAGCCTATCCCCTAATTCTCCCAATATAGTCACAGAGCAAAAGCTCTTAATCCCAATGAAGTCTAATTTATCACTCTCTTCTACTATGAATTGTTTTTTGTTGTCAAATCTAAGAATTCTTTGTCTAGCCTGAGATCCTGAAGATTTTGTCTTTTTCCTAAATAATTTATGTTTTAACATTTTACATTTAAGTCTGTGATCCATTTTGAATTGATTTTTGTACATGTTGTGAAGTTAGTCAAAGTTCATTTTGTTGCCTATGCATGTCCATTTACTCTAGCACCATTTGTTGTTATCCTTCCTCTAGCAATTTGGTAGAATTATAGTAACAGTTGGGTGTATTTATGTGTCTGTTTCTGGGTTCACTACTCTGTTCTGTTGACCTGTTTGCTCTCTGACAGTCCTACACAGTCTTGATTACTATAGCTGTATTGTAAGTTTTGAAATCAGATAAACTGATACCTACAACTTTATTCTTTTTCTTCAAAATTGTTTTAGCTGTTATAGTTCCTCTGTCTTCCCAGATAAATTTTAGTATAATCTTGTGCATATCTACAAAACTTCTTGCTGGGATTTTGATAGGAATTGTGTCAAACATTTATATCCATTTGGTGAGAATTGGCATCTTTACTATGATGAGTCTTCCTGTCCATGAACATGGTATTGTCTCTCTATTTACTTTGATCTTCTCTAATTTCTTTCATCAGCATTTTGTACTTTTTAGCATACAGGTCCGGTACATGTTTTGTCAGATAATAAAGTACCCAAGTACTTGAGTCTTTTGAGTGATTACAAATGATACTTTATTTTTATATTTGATTTCTTTGATTATTGTTAGTGTGTAGAAACACAGTTGATTATTTTCTTTCTTGCATACTTTGACGTTATTGAACTCATGCACCAGCTTTAGAAGTTCTTTGTGAGTTCCTTGGCATTTTCTTCATAATCATGTCATTGGCAAATTGGGATAGTTTTGGATTTGTCTCATTTCAGTTTTAATCAGTTTTTACTTTATGTATTTTGTAGGTCTGTTGTTTGGTGTGTAAACTAAACATTTATCATTATTTCTTCTTAGTGGATTGATCTTTTTATCATTATGTAATATCCCACTCTAGTAAATTTTGTTTTGAAATTTGCTTTATTTCATAGTGATATACGCAGCCCTGTTTTCTTTTGATTAGTGTTTTCATTCAAGTTGAGATTTTCATCATTTTTAATATGACAAATGATTACAGATTGAGACCTAGACATTTGTGGTTTTGTATAAAAAGACTCTGGATTTTTTTTTTTTTAAGATGTTTTATCTATTTGTCAGAGAGAGAGAGAGAGAGAAAGAGAGCACAGGCAGGCAGAGTGGCAGGCAGAGGCAGAGGGAGAAGCAGGCTTCCCCCCAAGCAAGGAGCCCAATGTGGGACTCGATCCCACATGACCCAAGCCGAAGGCAGCCACTTAACCCACTGAGTCACCCAGGTGTCCCAAGACTCTGGATTTTTTTTTTTTTTAAGATTTTTATTTATTTATTTATTTGACAGAGAGAGATCACAAGTAGGCCGAGAGGAAGGCAGAAAGAGAAGGGAAGCAGGCTCCCTGCCGAGCAGAGAGCCCGATGTGGGGCTCGATCCCAGGACCCTGGGATCATGACCTGAGCCAAGGGCAGAGGCTTAATCCACTGAGCCACCCAGGCGTCCCGACTCTGGATTTTTTAAATGAAATTTCTGTTAAGCTGGTTTATATGGGCACTGCTCTGGCAGAGTAAATCAGGATGTTACCTCATTACTGCCAGGTGGGAGTAAATGTTCAGTTTTCCACTCTGCTTCCACTGATACCTGAGATGGGAAGAGGTTCCTTGTTATTACTGGGCTGGGGGGAGTTGTGGCCCCCAAAAGAGTGTCCACTTGATACTACCCTTGCTGGAAGGAGTAGGAATGCCTTGTTACTGCTTACTACATGGCTTCACTGTCACTGGAGTGGGGGAGGCTTCTTTACCATTGTATGGTAGTGACTTCCTACTTGGCTTCCCTTTTAGTTTCTTCTAGATACTGCAAATAGGTGCAAATAGGTGTCATTACTGCCCACAGGGATGAAAATCCTATATCCTTACTCAGTCTTTACTGGTAGGTAGAGTTGGGGTACAGTTTTTTTTGGGTTGTGTTTAGCTATGGTAGAGTGGTTATTATCTAAAAGTTTTCTGTCTCGTGAGTTGATCCTTTCCTGTTTGGATAGAAGGAACAGACTTTTGTTGGTCCTTTTTTGGTCTGTGCCTGTTAGTATTTCTTAGCTGCTGGCTTCTTTAACTCCAAGTCTAGGCTATATGAAGGCATATAAGATAACTCACAGAGTTCACTACTGTGTTATTTTTGGGTCCTGGTTCCCTAGCTTGTCTGCCTTCTCTCCACCTTTCAGAATGTTCATTTATGCTTTCATTTTCTTTTTAAAAATATATATTATGTCTAGTGTTTTTATTTTGATATTTTCTTAGAGAAATGAGGAAATGGAAGTTCCACAGCAGAGTTTTATTTTTTTAAATTTAAATTCAGTTAATTAACATATAATATATTGTTTCAGGGGTACAGGTCTATAATTCATCCGTCATATGTAATATCTAGTGCTCATTACAATACATACCCACCCCATTGTCCATCACCCAACCACCCCATCCCTCCCAACCCATTCCCCTCCAGCAACCCTCAGTTTGTTCCCTGAGATTAAGTCTCTCATGGTTTATCTCCCTCTCTGGTTTCGTCTTTGATTTTTTCCTCTCTTCCTCTATGATCCTCTGTCGTCTTGTTTCTTAAATTCCACATATCAGTGAGATCATATGATAATTGTCCACAGCAGAGTTTTAAAAACATTTTTACATGGTTTAAAGCACTGCAGTTATAGTGCTCCATATTCTTTCAGTGAATAGAACTATGTGTGTGAAATTGTTGTAAGTATATGATGCAAAAACGGGCTTAGATTTTCTATATGTTTTCATCTTGATTAAGCACCACTTATACATCTTACCAGTAATTCTAATGTCAATCCTTACCATCAATAAACTTATACTGTGAGATGTCTCATTGTGATACTCTGGTATCAGAGTAGTGAAGATAAAATAGTGTTCAGAAATTTTGCAACAGGATATAACCACATTATATTAGTAAAATATTATACAAATATTTTATAGTTTATAATTAAATGTAAAGTATAAGTGAAATATAAAAATATATGAACTAAAAATGGCAGCTACATCATGACTTGGAAAAAAGTATGTAGTTAGGAATATAGTTAATTACCATCAAAATGCCATAGTAATTAATCCAACAACTGTGAGGTCTTAGTTTAGTTATTTTTTTTTATGAGATCGGAAGTAAATGATGGTTGCTATATCTCTTATAAAAGTAGGAAAACAAAATATTTTTTATTTCAAATGTTCAGTGATAGAATTTTTAGAACATTTAAAAATATTTGTGATTAAATTTAGCTAGTTTTTTTCCTGCAGTTATAGCCTTTCATATATGAAAGCTTTTTTTAAATGTCAATTTTCACTGTAGCCAATTGATAGAATTTGTGTTTATCCTAAAGAACCATGGCGTAGTCACAATAGATGATCTTAATTGTAATAGTGTTACAGTTCTTTATTACATTATAAACTTTAACTTTTTTTAGGTACAGTGAAGGCGAAATTCGATTTAACTTAATGGCCATTGTGTCTGACAGAAAAATGATATACGAACAGAAGATAGCAGAGTTACAAAGACAACTTGCTGAGGTTTGTGACCACATTTTTAAGTGCAAAGTTCTAGTTCATTGTCTCAGGAAAGGTATTCTCTCTCTCTTTGTTCTTTCTCTTTCTTTATCCGATCTCTTTGTTTTTTTCTTTCTCTGTTCTTTCTTTTTCTCTTTCTTTCTTTCTCTTTCTCTCTCTTCCTCCCTTCCTTCCTTCTTGATTTAATCAGGCGTCCTGAGTGGTGATGAAGAGAACACACTCTGGAGTCAGGCTGCCTAGATTTAGCTCCTGGCTTTGCCACTTAGTGGATGTATGAATTGGAATATACTTCTTTGTGCTTCCGTTTCCTTCTCCCTTCCTCCCTCCTTCCCTCCCTCTCTCTCTTTCTTTCTTTTTGGAGAGAGAGAGAGAGCACATGCACCTGAGTGGTAGGGGACCAGGGAGAGGGAGAGAGAATCTTAAGTTCCGTGCCCTGCATGGAGCCCATGAAGGGCTTCATCTCATGACCCGGAGATCACGACCTGAGCCTAAATCAAGAGTCAGTGGTTTAACTGACTGAACCACCCAGGAGCCCCTGTGCTTCAATTTCTTAAAGTAAAATGAAGTGAATTGTATTTACCTTAGAAGGCTGTTGTGAGGATTAACTGAGATAATATATGTAAGCAACTTAGACTGACAAACATTACATGCTAAGTAAGTGTTAGCAATTAACTATTTAATTTCATTATGAAATTGAGCAAGTTAGTATATATTTCTCAGAGAATTAATTGGGTACATTTAGATTTACATGTAATCTTTACTAGTCTATGTAATTGTTTTTTTGTTGTAATTACAATTGGAGAAGATAATTGGTAATAATATCTTCTTTACATTCCTTAGGTGACATTTTCTTAATAGCATATTCAAGCATTTTGTGGCTGAATAAAAGATTATAGCACTATAGTATATTGCAGTATAGATTTTTTTTTAGGTAAAAATTCATGTGTTATTGTAGAACATAGAAATATGGAAAGTACTTCTTAGGGCTTTTATCCTTTAACATTGCAATTAGATTGGTATTCTGTCACCAGTATTAAGAGTAAAATTTGAGGGGCGCCTGGGTGGCTAGGTTGGGCATCTGCCTTTAGCTCGGGTTGTGATTCTGGGGTCCCGGGATTGAGTCCTACGTGGAGCTCCTTGCTCAGTGGGGAGTCTGCTTCTCTGCTAACATGTCTCCTCTCATTCTCTCTCTCTCTCTCTCAAATAAATAAAATCTTTATAGAGAAGGAAGGAAAAAAAAGTAAAATTTGAAAATAATTGTACTGTGTTATCATTTTAAAATAGTTTGGATTCAAGCCTCAATCATTAGGGTATGCTGTTTTTTTTTTCTTTACCCTAAGGAGGAACCCATGGATACAGACCAGGGTAGTAATATGTTAAGTGCTATTCAGTCAGAGGTTGCCAAAAACCAGATGCTTATTGAAGAAGAAGTACAGAAACTAAAAAGATATAAGGTATGTTTTCTATTTTATTTGTTCCTTTGTTTTAATATAGAGTAGTAAATTTTGACATGAAGATATGTTGAATACGTGATTGTTTTACCCATCATTTACTAGTTTTCAGAATAATGACTTGGTTCCTCGGCACCCCACAAAGATAACTAGTGAGGTTTCTTTTGATTTTTTTTTTTTTGAAGTATCATTATGAACAAATTTTTAACCTATTTGATGTTTTAGTTCACTGCAATAAATGATCAAATTGTCTTATCTTTGGCTATTAGGATCCACTTCAAGTCCTAAGTCCTTTTGATATGATTCTCTTCATCTTTGATAGCTTCCTTGATTTCCAGTATGACAAGATGTTTCAGACTCCTCTTGTACATTTCCTACTTCAGACTTGGATTAGCCATTTTTTTTAAGAAGCCTTGGGTTCTTTTGGTGGGAAATATTATTTAGAAACCACTATTTGGGTGCTCAGTGATCCTGATTAGTCATTATGTCTAGGCCTTTTCAAAGCTAAGGAATGCATTTTTGTTTGCCTCTTATTTTAGTTTTGAAGAGAAAACAGAATGTGAATTTGTACAATGTGAATTTACTCTTCAAATTTAGAAATAAAGGGCTTAGGGCACCTTACTGGCTCAGTTGTCAGAGCATGAGAGTCTTGATCTCAGAGCATGAATTCAAGCTCCATCCCATGTTGGATGTGGAACCTACTTTAAAAAGAAAGAAAAAATGAATTAAAGGGCTTTCTACTTGAAATTAACCATTTGCATTTCTTCTTTCAAGCCGAAAGTCTTGATTCCTAACAATATTAACATAATGACTTGTTTTCTTTATGATATATATATATATATAGAAAACCTATGGATATATATAGAAAGGTTCAGAGTAGCAATACTAGTGTTAATAACAACACAGTTTTTTCTGAAGTTTATTTTTTTCCTTAGGGTATACCCCATTTTGGTTATACAGTCAAATTACTATTTTTAAATTCACTTGAAAAAGTTTTCCTCTTGATGTGGTTCTGTCACCAATTATTTTCTTGGTGTGGTTATATCACCAATGCACAGTTGGATTCATTTGTTTTATTTTCCTTTCCATTTATTTAGGGTTTTTAAAATCTTTTAATTTAATTTTAATTATGGCAAACATTTGTATAATTCAGAGTCAAATATAAAGCAAGTCTGTCTTTAAGAATGTCATTCTCTTTCACTTGCAATTTGGTAAGCTTTTTTCAGAGAGAGCGAAGAGTAAAAGGAGCTTTGAATTTTGCATAAGTTTGGAAATGGTAGTTATGTCATTTCTCATGTGTATCAAAATCATTGTTATTCATTTGAAGCTCAGTTGAAGGCAAGAATTGTCCTTTTTTCTTTTTTATTGCTCACCAAAGCGTTAGCATGGTGTTTCGCATCATACTTGCCAGCCAATAAATGACTGTTAAATTAAATAAATGAGCCTTGGACTGTAGGATTTCTTTAGTTGAAAGTAGTAGGGGTTGGTTCCAGAGAATTCCAAGTTCATGGAGATAGGAAAGTAAGGGATGAAAGTTTAGATATTTATCTTCCATTTTATGTGGTATACAAAAATAAGTACCCAACACTTACATATTCTTAATGCAGGGTTATTCCATCACTAAGTTTTGATATTAGCCTAAGATAAAATACAGATTAAGTTTTCAGAATCTTTACCTGCTACATTGCTTGAAAATGTCTGTTCAGAAAGGTAAAATGATTCTCTTACTGCTATAATATGAACGTGTTAAGATTTTACTTAATTCATTAATTAATTGAAGGAACCTGTAAGATATCACAACTAGTTAAAATAAGAAGTTAAAGCAGCTCAAATTTATATGAAGTAAAGGAATGTTGAATTTACTAAAAATGTAAACTGTCTTTTTTTCCTATGAGATAAGAAAGTAAATTGAACCTCTGCCAGACAGATTATTTTATAGCTGAAGGGGCAGTAACAAACTAGAATCACAGAACTTGGGAGGGGTGCTCTAGACAATGCATGGTTTTCACTTGAAGTACAGATCTGTCCCTACAGTCTCTCTTCTTGATTAAAAGTAATTGAAAGAAAGATTATTCTTGATCACAAAATAAAGCTGGTTTCTTTAGGTATGGCCTGATTATTCGTATAGTTGTAGTAGTAAGAGTGTTAATTTATCATGTGGGCTTCTTAAATTTACTTTCCTCTTAAGTTTTCATAAATAATTTTAGATTTTTAAAAGTGTTATTTGTTAGGCCAAGAGTAGGAAGCCACACCCAAAAAAGTCACATGTTTTGTTGTATTAGTCTTTTTTCTCATGGAGATGAAATCTCATTATTTATAATATTTTTTCTTGTGAGAATGAAAGATTTACTCCCATTTCTGTTTTGAGTTGGATGCAAAGATCAAAATGTCAGAAACTTAATGTGGTTTGATATTTGTTTTATTTTCAGATTGAAAATATCAGAAGGAAGCATAATTACCTGCCTTTCATTATGGAATTATTAAAGACTTTAGCAGAACACCAACAGTTAATACCACTAGTAGAAAAGGTATGTATTTTACTGATGAATACTTAAATTACATTTAGATTCCCCCAAAACAAGATAAACATCTTGACTTGAGTAGAGGTAAAATTTGTTGAAGCATTCCCATTTTAATTTTTTTTGCTTTTAGCTATTATTTTATATTCTAGATGAGAATTAGTTCAACCTGATACTGTAAAGTAAAAATAAGGAATTGTCCCACTGCTTTAGCTGTCCTGAATCCTTAGTGTTAAGAACTTAGGTTGTACCTAATATTAGAATAAAATTTTAAAATTTTCCTGTCTGTAAGCTGAAAGCAAAAAAATATTTTTTAAAGATTTTATTTATTTATTAGAGAGTAGTGGGGAGGGGCAGAGGGAGAGGGAGAGAGAATCTCAGGCGGACTCTACCCTGAGTGTAGAGCTTGATGCATGGGGCTTGATCTCATGACCCTGAGATTGTGAGCTGAGCCAAAACTAAGAGTCAGACACTTAATTGACTGAGCCACCCAGGTGCCCCTAAGTTAGTTGAAAGCAAATTTTTAATGTTAAAGATTGAAACAGTAGATTTCTTGTCATTTATATTAGGAAAAATTTGGATTATCATGTAATTTAAAACTAGAGTGGACACTGAAGGGGGAAAAATAACTATAGCTTAGACTAAGAAATGTTTTTATAAAAATACGTTCCTAAGCTAGTATTCCTTCCCCCGAAAGAAAGCTCACATACATTTGTGAAAAATGCTGATTTCTAAGATTTTTTTCTTTCAATATAAGGCACTTAAATAAAATAATTGCATAGTTGCAATGCAGTTAAATTGTTTTTAAGTTTATACTGTAAGTCAGTGTTTCTGAAAGTGACCATTGCTGGATACTCTTTAAAATACGTGTTACCTGGCCCCTCCTCAGCTCTTCTCATATAGGGGAAGGAATCTTTAATAAGTTACCCCAAGTGACTCTAATGCAGCTGGTTTGTGTACTACATTTTGAGAAACACTTTGAAAAGACAGTACTAGGCAAATAAAATTTTGGACCATTAACTTAAGAGCAGAGTACATGGTTGGTATGTTTCTCATTAATTTTAAACTTTCTGAAGCAAAGATACATTTCAACCCAGCTTTTTTTATATCATCATAAACAAAAGGAAATGAGACAGTGTTTTTGTGTATACCTTATTACCTGGATCCTGAAACATGTGTGCTTCTGCTTTTGCACTTAGTGTACAAATTATTGCAGAAAACTGCTAAGTCTACTGTTTTCCATACGGATTTTCTGTTCATGTATCCCAGGGTGTTAAAGTATAAAATTCTAAGATGGGAAACTGCTTTAAAAGTTTTAAATTAACAATTAGGCTTCTGTGATTTTCAAGTTCCTAAATACTGTGTTCTTTGTATGAAACAGTATGAAATATTTCTTTATTAAAAATATTAAAATAATAATATACCATTGTGTTAAATCATATGATCTGTTGCATCAGATTCTAACTATAGATAAATATTACTAAAGGCCAGACAAATGTTATTAGAGAAATTTAAAATGTGTATTTTGCTTTAAAATTGGCCTGTGGATAAACTTTTTGATGCAAATTAGGAAAACAACCATTTTTGTTTTTTAATGACTATATTCCCAGATTTTTTTTTGAAGTCATAGTTGGGAGAATAAGCATTGGAACCATAATTTCTTGCTTCACATTTTGGACACAGGGTGGCAGTGTATGAATGCCTTGTGTTAGTGGGACACCAGCTCAGTGTGTTCTTGGGTTTGCATCTTTTTTTGAAGGGATAGTTACTCATCTACGTTTTGCCTATTTCTTCAGACTATTCTTTGATTAATAATATTGGATAAGCAATATTGAAGTTATGTTTATTCCTTGTGTATATGCAATATCTGTTATCCCCTAAGGAATTCCTTTAAAGGAATCAGTCTGTTATACCCTAAGGAATGTCCCCTAAGGAATGTAAAGAAATTCAGATGGATTATTTGATTAAAATTTTTGAAATTTTAAAGATCTTCATCAAACATTTATCTAGCTTTAACTATATTCCAGGACTTCTTAAAGTCTATAGATGTACATATAATTAAGACACATTCTTCTCTCTTAAGCAGTTCATGATATAGTTAGGGAAAGGAATAAATAATTATAGTATTGTGCTGAATACGATTGTTCTGGTAAGTGCCATAATCAATTCATGCTGAAGATCCTGGGGGAGCACAGAGTAGCTCTTAAATATATGCCACTTGAAGTTTCACAGCTGCAAAATTTTAAATCCGTGGTGAGAATCAATATTTTCGACCAATAAATCAGCTTCCTTAACCACAAATGTATTCATCTCATTTTGAAAAAAAAAAAATCATTGTATCATACTGAATATCACTTTCTGCAGATAAACACAAATGTTACAAATAAAAAAAATAATGATGAGATTTTGTAATTATATATAATACAAAAGCTTTAACAGTGATAATTGCTTAATAGTACTACTTCTAAGAAAAATAACATGTAGAATACAGAAATGGATAAGTTGAAATTACTCAGAATTAGTAAGTTTAACTGTTCCTCCCCCACCCCTCAGCCCCCTATGCCAAGGGAAAATAATAAAAGAATAAAGCATAAAAGAGGGAGAGGGAATCAAAGAGAAAAGATGTGGCTACTCTTGGCAGTGAGGTAAATGCCAAACCTGTCCAAGATCAGATCCTTGAGTAACTGAGATAGTTGCTTAGAGCCTGTGATTGCATAAAAATATTTACGTTTGAAAATCTTTTTATTTTATAGAATAATAAAGAAAAGATCAAGACTTTGATTCTCCTGAAGCCATATGGCTATAATGAATTAGGTTAAGATCTAGCCTTATAAGTATTTTTGTTACGTGAGGCTTCTAATCTGAGGCGTTGATTATGCATTACGTAAGAACTGCTCGGGAAATAACCTAAAAATACATAGTTATAAAACTTCTTGTGCCATATACCAAATCTATTTCTTAAAATATAAAATCAGCTAGATGAAAATTTCATTTGTGAAATTTCTACTGAGTTCAGGTATACTTATAATTCTTTTAATATTTTTATCTTAACCTAGTAATTCTGGATCATTGTCTATTCCAGGTTTTTAACAATCACCCATAACCTACCATAATGTAAAATCATAGATTCCGTTGCCCTGGGGGATTCAAAGCACCTTCACAATGTTGAATTTTGTCCCCATTTTACTAAGACATTACAATTCAATTGGTAATAATCTTTTTAGAACTTACTTCTTCTATTCCTTAATGGAAATAAGATAGAAGAACAGTTGGTATTCCCAGTGATATCTACATTGATATCTATGGTTACAGAATTATCCACTTGGGTCAGTGTATTTTGATATTTCATTGGCATACTGTATAGAACATAACAATGTACCTTTTTTCCATACTATTTAGAAATGTAATATTGTTTTTTATTTTTAACAAAGTCTGAACTTTCGGTTTAGTATATAGGCTTTGGGTTTTAAATTGCAGATGTGTTATTAGCTGGTGCTTTTAGGCAAGTTATTATAGTTTCTATTTCTTCATCTATAAATTAGGAATCATACCTACTTCACATTCTTGAGGACTAAATGAGATCATATCTATAAAGTACATAAATAAGTCCTCAATAAATGGTAATAATTATTTTTAACTTATTTCACTTATTTTTATCTGAATTATATAGTTTAATAAATGTATGCACACTCTGCATTATATGTCTGCTCATTTAATTATGTTACAAAGTTTACGTTATAAACCAGTAAGTTTATTTTTGTTAATCCCACTAAACAATCTGTATGTTCAGAGTATATTCAGAGATCAATATGGGAAAAATACATATTTTTATTTCAAATTATATCTGAAATTAAATTTTATTTTTATTATTTAGAAACAGAGCTTCTTTGTTAAAAATTGTATACATATCAGGGCACCTGGGTGGCTCAGTGGGTTAAGCCTCTGCCTTCAGCTCAGGTCGTGATCTCAGGGTTCGGGGATCGAGCCCCATATCGGGCTCTCGGCTCAGCAGGGAGCCTGCTTCCCCCTCTCTTTCTGTCTGCCTCTCTGCCTACTTGTGATCTCTCTCTCTGTCAAATAAATAAATAAAATCTTTTAAAAAAATAAAAATTGTATACATACCAAATTATAAATTATGCTTGTTAACTAAAAATGTTTATGTAAGCAGTTTTATATAGTACATATATTTCCTTTTAATATATTCTTAGGAATAACACTATTTTATTGTATAGCTGTATGATAATTATACTACCTAATACATTATAAAAATATTATAGTTCTAATTACCCTATTTTTTCCGTCTGAGGAAGTTTTTTTTCTTAGTTGCATAATAGCAAAACTCTATTCCTTTCTGATTCAAGTGGCATAGTGGAAAGAACATTATATTGTAGTTCTCTAAAATCTTATTTCTCAGAGTGTCATCTGAAGACCAGCAGAATTGGTATCCCCTAAAAATTTGTTCGAAATTTAGAATCTCAGGCATTTTATTGAACAGCATTATAACAGGGTACCCAGGTCATTGGTATGTACATTGAAAAGCACCACTATAGAACAGGTGTCTTTTGACCTCTTGCGGTTTTATTTTATACTAGCGGTGTGACTTTTTTCAAGTGTGATATCTATAAGCTCTGTCTTCATCTGCTGAAAAATAAAATAGAGTTACTGGGTTCAAGCTATATAATTGTTATGAGGATCAAATGAAATAAGTATGAGAGCATTTTTCTTAGGTTCTATAAGTAAATTTTATTAATAATACAGATATGTGATCCTTTAGTGATATTCTATTAAACCCAACTATGCAGAAACTAGTATTTTTCTTATACTCAGTTTGAATGAGAAATGGGCACATAGGTAAATATAATGTTTTAAAGCATTTATGAATAGGTATGACTTTGTGGAATGAGTAATTATGTAAATTGAAATTATTACAATTATAATACATTTCAGTTGCAGATAAGAAAGAACTGTAAACCAAACATGATCCTTTGTTACTGAGGGACAGAGCATAACTATAATTTGTCCAGCAATAGTATGTTGCAAGTCTTGAGATATAAAAACTAATGCTCTAGAAATCTTAAAAACAATGAATTTCAAGTCTTTCAGCTTAAGTATGCCCATGTACACACATTTTAACATGACTTAAAATGGACTTTTAAGATTTTATAGAATACTATCTTTAACTTCTAGGCAAAAGAAAAACAGAATGCAAAGAAAGCGCAGGAAACCAAATGAAGACGACGCTTTGGGATGCATACATATTTCTGCTTCTGCACTTATTTTCATGGAAACCATTAAGTATAAAGAACTTTGAGCAACATTCTAATTGACTCAATGCACGTTTGGCAATAGTACCAGTCTGTCTTGTCTTTAATGCATGGATTCTTTCCCAGCCTGCATCATGTGCATGTAGTGCATATTAAATAAAAGTGATAATAAGAGTGCTTGCCCAAATTCCATTATTTGACATTGGATCCAAGAACTTCTCTTATAAATAAGAGAAGTTCTCTGGATATATACTATCATGATGAACATAGAAATGGCATAAATGATATTCTCTACCTGTAATTGTTATAATCAATCTCTCGATCTTTTAGCTCACTTACATGTTTAAAATTTATGAATGTCAGATCTTGCTTAAATTAGATCTCTTGTTTCTCACCATTAATGAAAAAAATCAGTATTTGTCTATTATATCTAAACATTTTGAGGATTTTAAAACTGAATTTTATCTTGAGAAAGTATGGTTTTAATGCAGATCATTTGAAAAAGACAAAAGTATAGTTTCTAGTGATTTTCATTGCTGCCAGAAGAAAAATTAATAAACATTCAATTTATTTTAGCAGAATTTTTAAGTGTTTGGGGTTATTTATTTATGTATTATTAGAATAATTTTAGGAAGGTATGAGTATTATGCTTCAAAGTAGAATTTCAGGTTAAGAATAAATGATAAATCTTAAAAGATTTTTGGTGTTACTCTCAGTCTGGTGGCATTTTCTGGCTGCTAAGCTGTATATAAAAAAAAATCAGAGGTTTGACAGTTTAGGCTATCTGCTTTTTAAAAAAAATAGGATGTGGTGGTAGAGGATCCTTCTCTGCCAATTTGAATGAAATTGGTACAGCCCAATAGTTTCAAGAACCATGTACAGTCTGTTCACAGTGGATTTTTAAAAATTACTTTTGGGATTTGCTTTTTTTAATTTTATGGAATAATTGTACTCTTGCTCCTAATCTTTTTGCAGTTAAACTTTAAAGGGGATTTTATGGAACTTCTCTTTAGAAAGGAAACTATCTACTTTTTTTTTTTTTTTTAACTAGATACATTTCTGAAATTGATGTGTGACTTTTTAACAGTTTATTATGGAAAAGTTTAAACATGAAGGGGGACTGTGTATTCATCTTCTGGCTTCAAACACATGAATTTTTTTTAAGGATTATTTTAAAACTTACTACACTGTAGTATTACTAAGTAACTAATGTGAAAAAATCTGGTGGGAATTGAGTAGAAAAATTAATAAAATATTTTTCACATAATTTCAGTTGAAAATAATAAAGAAGAATTTGTAGTTTTTCATTTGTTTGTGGGTAAATATATTTTGCTCTGGATACAATAGTAATTATGGAGTGTTTTCAAACCCATGATACAATTTTAAAAACTGATTTCTTAAGGATTATTTTAGGCTCCTCTTGATCCCATGCAATTATTTCAACTTAATTTATATATTCTGTTTTTGTTTTTGTTTAAAGATTTTTTAGTTTGGAGTGATCTCTACACCCAGCGTGGGGGCTTGAACCACAATCCTGAGATCAAAAGTTGCATGCTCTACTGAATGAGCCAGCCAGGTACCCTTATATACCCTATTTTATAGAGGCTTAAATTTTGTAAAGCAATACAAGGAATATTGTAGTCAATAGTATCCAGTCATCAAGACAATATGATACTAGCATAAGGATCAACAACAAATTCAATCAGTGGAATCAGAAGAGAGCCTATAAACAAATCCACCTTTTTATGGTTACCTGATTTTTGACAAAGGTTGCAAAGCAATCCAACAGAGAAGGAAAATGAGGCCAGAACAGCTAACCCTCCATGTGGAAAAAAAATGAACCAAGTCCCCCTTCCTCACAAAAAAGAATGTGAGGTGGATCATTGACCTTCATTTAATAGCTAAAGTACAAAGGTTTTTAGAGGAAAACGTAGGTGAAGATCTTTGTGACTTGAGTGTAACCAAAGGTTTCTTAGGTCACAGAAAGCAATAACCATAAAAGATCCAAAATTTCTTTATAAAAATTAAAAACTTGTCATTGAAAGATGCTTTTAACAAGAGTAACCAGTATCAAATGACATTAAAAAATAGCTTTATAAAACTGTTAATAGGTGTAAGGATATTTTCTTACTAATCTAATTCTAATAAAATTCTTTGATAGGAATTTCCATAGCTTAAGAACAGTTTCTTTTATCTGCTTCTTCTTCGATAAATGTAAATGCATTGTGATCCTTCATGATAATGTCTGCCAGTGAATAAAGAAATACAATTTGTCTTTGTCTGGGTCTTAAGTCATGAAGCTGGTGGGTAGAGAAAATGGATGAATGAAGAGCAATCCAGAAATGTATAAATGTCAGTTATGTGGGAAGTTTTTTCTTTTTTAAAAAGGTGTATTGACAGGAGTATTTAAAAGAAAGTCTCCTTTGTTCTTTTCACTTTTGCCCTTTATTTTCTGAAATCTCATTTAACGCTTGGATAGGTGAAGGCACTTCCATTCTGTTTTGTGTCTTTTAAAATAACGAGCCAATTTTTCTTTTTTTAAAGATTTTATTTATTTATTTGACAGAAAGATCACAAGTAGGCAGAGAGGCAGGCAGAGAGAGAGAGGAGGAAGCAGGCTCCCCACTGATCAGAGAGCCCGACATGAGGCTCGATCCCAGGACCCTGAGATCATGACCTGAGCCGAAGGCAGAGGCTTTAACCCACTGAGCCACCCAGGCGCCCCAATAACGAGCCAATTTTAAGCAATATACTTTTGCTATCATAAACACAAAAAGCTTGCCAACAGCTGCTGCACTGGCTAGTCTCACCTCATATGTTTAGTTCCCAAGATAACTGCCCTTTTTCTAACAGAGAGCAGTCAGCTTGACTGTGCCACTAGAATAGACAAATATTTGTTCTTAGATCGTGAACCATGGGGACTTGCTCCCCTATTTAGACCATGATACATACTGTGTGTGTATGATGGTGTTACATGCAGATTAATAACTTCTGTTAATCTAGTTGCCTAAAACATTTCAAGATACATTCAGAAACCACTCCTTTCCCCTTCCCCGTAGGAGGATTTTGTGTCTTTTGGGGGAAAAAAAGGCTTTTAAGGTTTTTCCTTTAAAAAAATTTAAAGAAAGATAAGCAAAAATAAAATTTAAATTACCCATCGTTCTACCATCAGGGATGACTGCATTGACATTTTAGTGTATTTAGTGATTCTTTTTTTCCCTGTATGGGTGCATTTTTGTGTTTGCATGCCTGCATATTCCAAAATAGCTTTATGTAGTATACATTATTTTTAAAACAGATGATATGCAATTTATCATTTTTGTATCATTGACAACTTACTTGCAAGAAACAAACTACTCCAGCTATTTAAAGAGGAATGGGGTTATAAGATCATTTTGAAACTTAGTTTGTTAGAGGGTTATTGGAAGATATGGAAGAGTAGGCTCAAGTTTGGGTTTCCAGGAATGACTCCCAGCAAAACTTAGTTACTGGCAAACTAGCAGAACTGCTACATCTGCAGCAGTCAAGGGGTTCCCCACTGGACTCCCTGTTGTTAGGACTGCTGCAGGTGCCGCAGTCTGGGAATGAATGTGCTGCAACTTCGTGTTGTCACGTGGTGACTATACACTAGAACTGGAAAGAAATTCAGCCTCTCCACAGTTAAACACTCAGAATAGCGAAAGCCACTCAGAATAAATTCTGCCACTCAGAATAGCTAAAGCAACAGGCCTTACTTTTGACTTTCAAAACTTACATTAGGTTTTCTGCAAAGGAATCTAAGAAATGAGTTTTTAGCTCTCCAGTTTCCGCAGAGTAAGAAGGCATTTTAATAGGAGGCTGGCAAGTCCACTCAATCACACATTATTACATTCCACTACAGTAACAGTTTTTTCTTTTTATAGGAGTAATACATGTTTACTTTAGAGAAATGAGAAAATACAGAAAAGAAAAATATGAAAATAAAATCTAATCCTATTACCCAGAGATAATCACTGTTAGTGTTCTGATGTATATCTCCCCAGAGAATGTGTTTATACTCACACGTGTAATAGATACTTTAGTTTTTATGAAAGAGGGATTACAATTAAATATTTTGTTGCATGCTTCCCAGCCCCTACAAACTACTCATATTAATAAATGTGCTTGTATCATAGCTTTTCTTTTTTAATGGTTGCTTAGTATTCCAATAGATAAGTATGCTCTGTTGTATTTAATAAGCCCCTAGTAACGTGGAGTAAAGCATAGAAATAAAATGGGCAAACCAGATAGTTTGATTTTGGGGGGAGGAATTTATTTTTTGTGTTTATTTATTTATTAAAAGATTTTATTTATTTATTTGACAGAGAGAGAAGTCACAAGTAGGCAGAGAGAGGCAGGCAGAGATAGAGAAGGGAAGCAGGCTCCCTGCTGAGCAGAGATCCCAATGCGGGCCTTGATCCCAGAACCCTGAGATCATGACCTGAGCCAAAGGCAGAGGTTTAACCCACTGAGCCACCCAGGTGCCCAGGAATTTATTTTTTAGACTGACATGAATTCCTAGGTCTGTCAAACATGAATGTTCTTCAGTTTGTTCTTTTTCTTAACACATGGTTAATTGGCTTAAATCCAATGACTGAGAGGTCAAAGAGTCACCACTTCAAGCATACCTAGTATTTTTTATTTTTGACTTTATATTAATGTCTTGAGAATTTCTTTGATAATTTATTCAACATATATCTGAGTTGTTCTAGGTGCTGGAGATGCAGTGGTGAAAAAGATCAAGCCCCTGACATCATGGTAAGAGAGGCAATAGACAAGCCTGTACAATTTTTCAAGTACTGGTAAGACTATAAAAAAAACAGGTCAAAAGAATGGAGGGAGGTGAGGGTTGATAGGATGAACATGGAAAATACCTTTAAAGAGATGATATTGAAGCAGAGATCTAAATGAAGAGAATATTCTCTGTAGGACTGATTTAGCACTATGAAAGAGGATTGCATATAGGCAGAACCAACATGCAATAATTCTGAATGCTAATTTTTAAAATGTGATAGTTAAATGGTTTAGGAAAGTTGATTTGGGGTGATTTTGATTTGATTTTCAATATAAAAATAGGTTGAATAAAAATTACATGTAGAAAAGACTAGGGCCACTGGTCGATGTACTTTCTTAAGCTATCCAGATAGTCTACATAAACTTATGTAAGGCTTTCTTGTAGCAATGTAGTATAGTAATGACTAAACCATAAAATTAGTGGGAAAAGTCTCGTGCAAGTGTATTTTAAAAACAGTTTGATATATACCATGATTAAAGAAGTAAACATGAAAAGTAAGACAATGAAATAATTAGAAAAATATGGGAGGATATTTTACTATTTGGGGATAAAGAAAAGCTTTCTAAGCAAGAAATAAAACATTTTAAAAAAATCTGGAAGAGAAACACCTAACTGTGTAGAAATTTCTGTACAAAAAACACTAAAAACTTAAAAGCAAGAAAACAAATTTTCATCATACAAAACAAAATGCAATATGTATATTAGATATGAAATTAGTATCTAATATACAGTGAGCTCTTACCCAGGAGAAAAATTGGCAGGTGATAT